TACAATCAAACGGACCCTTAGTATTGTTCTTACTGAATTAACATATGGGAGGTAGACCTTCCATTCACGACCAATCCAATCATAGCCGCCGTACGTAATAGTATGCTGTGGAAGGATAGCCACTAGGAAGATTCACACGGATGGATCAATAAGATCCAGCAACATGGGAGTCAAACACCCATTCCTTAGACTGAATGTGTCCGTCAGTCACATTACCAGAATCAATACGAAGATTTTTGGTTGGCTTTAGAATTTGCGGGGTTCTCACCCGTGGGCCCGAAGACAATTTCTATAGCAGACCTGGAGGGTAAAAGATCTGGTCGTCCAGCTGGATAGAGGGTAGAGAGCCGATAGAGTAAAATAGAGTATAACCTATATATGTTTTGGTCAAAGACTAAATTTAGGGTTTGGCCGGACAATCCACGAAGGGCCGCTCCCCACAGAGAATGGAAGCGATTGCAAGTTTAAATTCACTCTGATACAGTGTTGAAATATTTTAAACTACATAATAATTTTGTATTACTTATATTAAAAAAAGGATGAACTGCATTCTTAGCGGCCCCCACCTGCTCTGTCCTGAGCCTTGGTGATTGTGTTACTTATATAGGTTATATATAAGATTGTGTGTTAATCATACAACTAATTAAGGAAAATTTGAAAAAATTATCACGAAGAAAAATCTTATAATCTTTTCATATCTTCAACGGTACTGTACATTATTGAGATAGAAAAGAAGCCACGGTACTATACCATTCAATCCTATTTAATACTGCATGATAGGAGGGGTGAACATAACTGTTTTTTTTAATTGTTTATAGCAACCCAAATTCATCATTCTCCCTGTAGCTACCAGGAGAAGATGGATCTTCATTCGTCTTCAATATCAGTCCGTTTTTTAGCTGAGCAAGCCAAACATTTTCTAATCATGGGCTTTAGCTTTTCCATGCCTTTAACAATTCCAAAAGATAGAACCCTATATCCAATCACCATGCCAAATACAATTGCAATATCAATCCACTTGGAGAAACTGGTATCCATTTGCCAATATTTTGTCAGAATCTCATCACCAGTAATTTTAGATGGCCCTCCAACTTGCAGGTTAGGAAATACTAGCCCTTGAAACTCATTCTTGTAGAATCCTTCATTTGCATATTTATGGAAAGAAATGTAATAACCTGGATATTTCCAAACTGGACGTGGAAGATCATTTGGCAACCGAAAAAATCCTCCATTTAGTATCATTATGCCTTGAATTCCAGCACCTGTTATGATTCCCAGGAGATAATTCGGCACTGCGCTTGCGACAATCATCATTAGGCTTTCGACTAATATCATGCAGGCGAAAAGCATCAATGCGAAGTAGGCAAAGTGGGATATGCCGTTTTGTAGGCCAATAAGGTAGTAAGCCATTGCTCCAGGGACTATGGAGATTAATAGCAAGTATGGAATGGAAGATAATGTGTTTCCAACAATAAAAGATGCCACACCATAGTGTCCATTCATTCTTTCTCGGGAGAAAATCTGATTTGATCAAGAAAAAATGCGTGTAAATATCACAAATTAAGAATTGTTCATAATAGATTTAAAGTCAGCTTCATGAATTTCTTTTTCTCAACTTTATTTTGGTTCGTTGTTAGACTTATTAGAGACAGGTACTTACTTTCATTTCCTCCGCGAAGGAAGGGAATCCTCCAATTGCCAAAAAGGTCATGAACGATACAACGAACATGAGCACGGAACCCCTAGCCTGCCACATGGACAAAACCATAAATTTTTAATTCTCTTTGTGGATTTCTCTCTCTGAATCTTGTTTGTGCAATGTTCCAAAAGAATCTGCAAATTCTCACCTGGATGGAACCATAATCAGAGCCAATATCATAAAAGATAGTGCCGACACACAAGCACAAAGCCATGTATATAGCAAAGCGAAGCCAGTAATAACCGGGGTCACGATACATGTTCACGAAAGATCTCTTTGTTAGAACAAGACATTGTGTAATGAATCCTGACTTCTGGCTTCCAGTTTTCTCTACTGATCCAACATTAATCTACGAGGGATATACAACAAGACATGTTTTAGTACTCTTTGGTTTGGTCTATGGTTTCTCATATAGACCATAAAAATCCTACAAGAATATGCTATATATAAATGAGGGAAAGGTATCTATACCTGTAGGCGAATATCATTTACCAATTGCTGAACTTGCTGAAAATTCTCTGAGGACTTGTATGATTCCACAAGAAGGGTAATTGCTCTTTTGGTGCTTCTCTTTTCACCAAATCCTTGTTCAATATCCTACATGCCCAATGAATAAGTATTGTGCATAGAATAGCTTGTTTTGTAAGTTGTACTCTAGACTACTCGACAATCATAAGGTAAAAGAAAATTAATTTGTCTAGTCATGTCGAGTAACATGTAAGAACATAGCTCTTATTTTCTGATTTTAAGGAAATATTGAAGTTATATCACAATATAAGTTTCAAACTATCAATTACCTCATCAAAATCCTGATTAATTGTCCTCAGATAGTGATCTGATGGATTCCTCATAGGTGGACAAGGAAAGCCATTTAAAGCAAAAAACTGCCAAAGTTATGAGCTATTAATTCTCCACTTTATGGAACAAGATTCACAATGAAAAAAATATATATAGATGCTTGAAGAAATAATTTTTACCTCGTTTGCTGCCGAAGTTGAACCAAAATAGACTGTTCTACCAGAGGACAAAAGGCAGAGATTGTGAAAAAGCTCAAATACTTCACTACTTGGCTGATGAATAGATGCAATTACAGTCCTTCTGTCTTGTTGGGCGAGTTTGATAATTCTACTCATAACATGGTAAGATGCTGCACTGTCCAATCCACTTGTAGGCTCGTCGAGGAAGAGAAGCTTTGGACGCGTCAAGATTTCAATACAAATGCTTACTCTTCTCTTTTGCCCTCCGCTAAGACCTTTTACATTCCATCCTCCAATTCTTGTGTCAATGGCATCTTGTAATCCCATTTCTTTAATTGTGGCTTCGGCTCTTTCCTTCTTCTCGGATTTAGACATGGAATCAGGGAGTTGGAGTTGAGCTGAGTAGTAAACAGCTTCTCTTACAGTCAATGTTGTCATTAGGATATCATCTTGCGTCACATAGGCCTGAATCGTGCAAAAAGAGAGGAGATAATGACCTCTTGCTAGTTATATTGAACTATTTCGTTTAGAAGTTACAAACTCCTTTATTTAAGCTCCTGTTTGGTTTTGATAAATATAGATTTTTAGTAGATTTTCATAAAAGTTGATGAAATGTATGATCGAAAAATTGATAAAAGTTGTGAATTTTATTAAATATGTGATTGAAAATGAGTCAAAAAAAAATTAAGTATTAGGAAATGAGGACCAAACAAGGACTGAATTATGTCTTGAACAATGAGACTTGGTTTTTGTTTTCATACCGAAGTTCCGAAACCTAGCTGTTTCCTTCCACCATTGACAAGGATTTCTCCACGCTGTCTTGTGTTTGAATCTAATCTTCCTGCAAATTGTATTCATTGATCAACATTAGGAGCACTGATATAAACATTAGGAGCAGTACTGATATAACAATTTCAAACAAAAACCCTAAGGAAATATTTCTTTAAATGAGAAACTACTATTATGTTTTGAATACAAATTAGTATTAATTACCTGCTAATGCATCAAGAAGAGTAGACTTGCCACAACCAGAAGGACCCATGATGGCTAAAACTTCACCTGGTTGGACGCAGCCAGTGAGTCCCTGAAGGATGGGCCGCCGTCCCCCCACCTTGTCCTGCACCGTCACCCACAAATCCTTCCATGTCAAGTAAATGCCACTTCTTTTTGATAGTCCAATACTTTCCATTTCTTGTGATCCTGTTATGCTAGAGTCATGAGAGTCTTCCATGATCAGTTTAAATTATACAGAGCAGGTTTCTTTCTCAATGTTTTGTCATATGAGATGAGAATTGAGGAGGTTTATATAGGAATAGAGCGGACCACTAAATATTTATGAAATAATATTACACGTAAATCCAAAATTTTTTTATTACATTTTTATAAAAATTCATTATTTCAAAACTTAATTTTTACCACACATTCTTCAATAAAATAATATTACACACAAATTCAAAACGTTTCCTTATTTTTTAACCATATATTTCCCATCAAAACACTATTTAAATGCATTCTCCACTCAACGATGTGCATCAAACATGGTTTATATCTTGAATATAAATTTAAATAGATAAATATCTCATTTCTCTAATATGTTATTTTTTTTTAGATAAAATGATGGTAGAATATGGTATCAAAGCAAGTAGAGTTGTTGAGCTCAAGTGAGTTGTTGAGCTACTCACTTGAGCTCAAGTGAGTTCAAATTCTACCACCTAGAATGGTTTAATTAAAAAAAAAAATGTAAAAAGGTCTTAGCTAGTCTTGGTCTTTCTAGTAGTCCTTCATAATGACTGGTACTCTATTGAAAAATGAATCCAATAAACTGGTACTCGTTAGACTTTTATTATGATAGGAAAAGGAACCTAACCCTTGTTTTGTACAGCTTAGATTAAAGTCCATGTCAAATTTCAGAATTAATCCTAACCACATATTTAATGTGATTCGCTACTTTTATCAATTTTTCAATTATACATTTCACTTTCTTTTATCAAAATCTACTAAAAATTTGATTTTTAACTACACCAAATGAGAGCCTAATCTGCACTGCCACCGCTAGTCAACGGACTGAAAACCGTATAAATTTTTAGATGAAATGTTTAAAACGCAAGAGCGTAAGCATACGTATTTTACGTTGTTAGCAACACTTAGTGGTCCTGTAACAACTCATATTCATGCGTGCAGCACATTTTTAATGCACAGTCCTTTATGCGACATGTCATTTAGTATAGAAGTTGACAAATTTAAGGTCGATCGAAATTGTGGTGGTAATTAATGTATACTTTGTACATTGGATGAAGCCAATTTACATTAATTTTCCACCATAAATCCAAAACAGCATACTTTTGTGAAAAACGTGTCTATAGAGTTTATATCACAGATATTTTCTTAACCATGACTAAATGTTCTGAGAATTTTCCACGCTAACATCTCAAATCTTAGGTATGAATTATGTTAAGGAATAAAATTTCACATCGAACAAAAATGAAAATATAGACTGATTTATAAAAGTTTGGGTTACTCTTCTTAACAAGGTTGATATTTTAAGATGGAACCCAAAATCTTAACATGGTATCAGAACCCGTTAAACTCCAACGAACAATTCAATTCGATTAAAACTATTTAAGAATTAATACAAATTGCTTCTCAATATATTTTATATAATTTTAACCTTTCCAACAATTTCAAAAAGATTGAAGCTTATACATGTGATGGTTTACAATTAAAAAACTTTTTTTAATCGAACCCTACATGGATGGATAATTTATTGATATTCGAAAAAATATATAAATTTTCAAGAGGACGTGACCTAACCTCCAGTCAATAAAAGAAATAAAGACAAACTTAATTAGGTCACGTTTGGTGGAGATTAAAATTAGATTTTTAGTAGATTTTAGTAGAAGTTAATGAAATGTGTAATTGAAAAACCGTGGAATCCATAAAATATATAGTTCAAATTAATTATTAACTTTGACTTAAATTAAAATTTAGATTTAAATCCTTACCAAACAGGGGCTTAATATATATGACTTATTGAGCTAAAATCTTACTTTGAATTTTGTGTGCTCTTATCATGCTCCTAATCATCATGCATCATGTGAGATATCGTTTTGACTCATATTAACTTTCATAGTTAACGTCCTCTTCAAAATACACTAGTCTGTGTCCAAAGCCAATATTACGGATATTGTGTCTTTCTTTAAACTCTCCTCCATTTACATACATATGATGAAGATCATTTACGCTAGGAATGTAAGTGTGCATTCGCTAGCCTTAGTGGAAGGAAAAACATCATTTTAATTTAATGCTAAATTTTCAAGTTCAGTGTTGTTGAGATTCTTCTGAGTACGATTTTCGATTGCAGTTTTTTTAATGAGTTCACATTGTTGTGCATTGCCTTTCGACTTGTTTATTATGCTCACAGAGCTAGCTTCTTTAGCAATATTCATTGTACTTGTTATACGAACACTTTTATATGTCGAAGATGATAATTTTCTGGATCACGTAAAAAACAATTTTGCATAGTAATAATCGAAAGCCAAACATAAGAAGGAAATATTGCTTCTTCTTTCTTACATCTCCCAATTGAAACACATCTTTGTATTTATAAGTAAAAACCTATAAAATATGGTGATCTAGATATCCAAGGCAACCAAGATTAAACACAGAAAGTTGTTCACTAAAATCTAAGTCATATAGCAACCACTATACTTTCGTTTCATGTAAATGGTTAGAAGATGGATTTCCCAACCAAATAGTTAGATAACTAGCTAGATTGATTAGTCAGTTTTTAGTTGTTAATATAAATTCTTCTCATCTTAATTGTGTTGTTCGATAAGAATTAAATTAATTGAAAACTATATTTAGTTCTCGTGTGATCAATACTTGAACCCTTGTTCACTTTATTAATTATTTGTTCACGATATCGTCAACTCGTGGAATTTTAGGGCAACAGAATATAAAGGCGGAATGATCTCAATAAGAATTGATGAAAAACACTTCGTACAAAAAAGGATAACCTCGACATAAAATAGCAGCAGAGGCAGAGCTAATGATTACCCAAAAGGCGGCATGTCTCACCCGCACTTGCTGTAGCGCCACCCTATCATTGGTCGGCAGGTGCCATCCATTTCCACCAATCAAGATTATGACCTTGCTGTCCTTAAACTCACGGACCCCAACGTTAAAATCAGGATTTCATTTTAAAAAAGATTTTCTAAGAAAATAAATAAGGTGAGAAACTAGTTTCTAATTGTAGTAAAGGTTTTCAACTTTTTCTCATCATCGAATGTTCTCAATCTTGCATTAATTAACATATCTCGTCTCCAATGACATTTTCATCCAAATAGTTTTGACTCATAATAATTTTCATTTTTCGCGTCCACTTTAAAATACAATAGTCTGTGTCCAATATTACGAATATCATGTCTCTCTTTAAACTCCTCAATTTACATACATATGACGGAAGATCATTTGCAGCAGGAATGTTAGTGTGTGCATTCACTCTAAGTGCCGATGTCCTAGCCTTAGTGGAAGGAAAATTAAACACCATTTTAATTTATTGCTAAATTTTCAAGTTCAGCGTTGTTGAGATTTTCCTTAGTACAATCTTCTATTGCATTTTTCTTAATGAGTTCACATTGTTGCGCATTGCCTTTTGACTCGCTTGTTATGCTCATGGAGCTAGCTTCTTTAACAATATTCATTGTACTTGTTATACGATCACTTTTATCTCGTGAAGATGATAATTTTCTAGAGCATTACTAAACTCCAATAAAAAAAAAAAAATTGCATAGTAATAATCGAAAGCCAAACATAAGAAGTAGGAAATATTGCTTCTTCTTTCTTACATCTCCCAATTGCAACACATCTTTGTATTTATAAAAACCTACTTTTTAATTGTAATAAAGGTCTTCAATTTTTTCTCATTGTTGAATGTTCTCAATCTTGCATTGATTAACATATCTTGTCTCTAATAACCATTTTCATCCAAATTGTAGGGAGATTTAGCCTCCTGTTTGGACTTCATTAAAATTATAATTAATTTTTTTCGCTCTCGTTATCAACCAAACATACTTCAATAAAATAATATTATACACAAATTCAAATTTTTTCTTCTTTTTTAACTATACATTCTTTAGAAAATCACTATTCCAAAATACATTATCCCAAAAATTCATTATAACTGGGCCAAACAAGCGCTTAATAATTAATACAAATTGTCGATGGATTGAAAGCTTTGTACATGCCTCAACATGTGTAATTGCTTCTCATGATATTTTATATATATTTATTTTACTAAAAATTTCAAGAAAATCATAGTTTATACTTGAAGAATTGAATTGCCCATCCATGGGATGGTTTAAAATAATGGAAAAAGCCTCAAGTACGGGAATTTCCTTATCGAATTCATACAGATGCTGAACTAGCAGAACATGATTTGCCTATTTTTTTCCATCTTCCAATGATTCCACGTCATGCATTGTTTGTCAAAATTTTCTGTACTTATAACATGATTGAAAAATAAAATACTTAAACGTGAAGAATTGCATAATCCAAAACCAAAGATAAGACGTTAGATTCTTTTTTTCTTTTATCTTTTTTTTATCTCTCAATTTTAATATGTCTTTGTATTTATAGCTAAACTGTTGCTTTAATATTTGAAGCACTCTCAATACTAATTTGACATACCAATTGCAACCTTGGTATACAAGAATAAAAATACCAAAAAAATAGTGAACTAGATGTCCAAGGTAATCAAGATTAAACACAAAGTTGTTCACTCTGAAGTCTAATATAGCAAACACTATTGCTTCTTCTTGTACATAGAAGATGGATTTTCCCAGTTGGTATAATGCTTGGCACACGGGCAAGATATGTTTTAATCACAGGCTTAAATTTTTATTTCTCTTGAATGATGACGAAAGATATTTTTCATTCATACTTTTATGTTTACATCAATATTACAATTGAAAGAATGAAGAATTGAATTAGAAGATATTATTCATCTCAAATGAAAAATGGAACCAACAATACAATAAATAGATAGAAAAGAAAAGGCGGGAAAAAGGAAAAGAATCCAGCTGGCTAACAAACTATCCAGCTGGCAAACTAACTTTCAACTCTCCTAAAATTGTGGTCATAATACGCCCCCTCAAGATGTGCTATAAACATTCTTCACACACATCTTGACCATCAATGGATTGAGAATTGACGCAGGTAATGCCTTAGTAA